ATTTTTTTTTTTTTTTTTTTTTTTTTACAATTTGGGAAAATTGGTCAATTAAATTGAAATAAAATATTATTGAGATTTACTTATTTATTTATAATATTTTAAAACAACTCCCTAGTTCTCGAGTAATGGGCTCGTTTTGATATTTGTAGTAAAAAAAAAAAAAAAAACATTAAACAATAAATTAGTATAAGATTAGATAATCCAATTAAGAGATTATAATATTAACAACGCAATTATTGGTAATAATTAGTGGTGGAGAAGGCACGTGAGTGGCACGTGAGTGGCTCACTATGGGCCTCTCGTAAATTGTTGTGACTTTTAAATTTAAAATTCATAAAATCTGAACCATTGCATTTACCAATTGAGTGATGATTGGTTTGCATGCTTTTCTTTTTCTATGGAAACCCAATTCCCTCAAAATGCAAATTTTAATTTCAAATTTCCCTATTTTTCCTTATAAAAATATGATTAAAATGTCTAATAAATAAACTTTATAGACTTTTTTTTTAATTAATTACATTATATTTTTACTTAAAGAAAAAAGGAAAAATAAGAAAGTAAGAGTTCCTCAAGAACGCTAAGTTATGAAAAAAATTGTCAAAATGAAAAATATCAAAATAATTGAAATAGATGTGGAAAATCTCAAAAGTAAACCAAAAAATAAGTTGATAGCAACTTAGAAATTGAAATTTTCTAGTAAAGAAAAATTTGTACGGATACATATAACATAGTTGAGTAGTTAAGAGTATGTTTTGAAGAGATACCTTTGTTCTTGATCATTGATGTTGGCATTGGACGTTCCGGTGGCAGAAGCAGTAGAGGAATAATTAGGGAATGGTACGTGGCCAAATTCAATGTGTTTGACATCCTCGACGAGAAGGTCGAAATGGGTCTTGACCTCGTCGGGGGTTTTGCCCCCGCCGACGGCCTTGGCGACATTGAGCCAGCGATCGGGGGTGTCCTTGTCAAAGACAGCCAAGGCTCTCTCAAAGGCTTTGTTTTCCTTGGGAGTCCAAGAGGAAGAGTGGTGAGAGGAGGACATGGAAGCCATTATGGATAGTAAGGTGTGGAAGAGAGAAAGGGGGAGAGATATAAGGGAATGGGAGAGAGAGAGAAGTGGGGGCGGAGAGATAGTTGGGAGAGGAAATGTTGCATAAAAGGGGAAGAGAGGACTCAGAATTTTGAATGATTTGTCTACCTAGCAACCACAAATTGGAAATGGGAGAGAAGACAAAGATGCACAGCAGCAAATGCCAAATACTATGCTCTCTCTCTCTCTCTCTCTACTTTCTCTCTCAAAACAACCCTAAGATATTTTCGGGTTTCGTTCTATCGAACTTTTAACCTTTGAAACGGGTTCAAAATAGTAAGTTTAGTGTAATACAGACTCGTATTTGTGTGAGATTTCATTGAAAACAGCTGAGAGAAACTACGTTGAATTAGACCTAGACCCAATGAATCAAGATGATGCAAAACCTTAACGATGACAAAATTCGATGACGACCACCACATGTGAAGTCTAATGATGGAGAAGACGTGTAATATTTCAAGCACACCGCTAGTAAACATGATCCTTTTTGGGCTTTCCCTCTCGGGCTCCCCTCAAGGTTTTTACTAAAACTGTTTCATTCTCCTCGTGAACCGATGTGGGATCTTACAAGATGCATGTGCTTATAATGCACACTATTGTACCACAATTACACTTGCATGAACATCAACACAAACCACAACAGTGAGAATTCAAATCGAGACGAAATAAAAACAAAATCTGTCATTCAATCAAAAACGAAATGGAAAAGAAGCCTCACCATTATCGATTCTCACAAATAAAAAATGAAAAAAAAGTAACACGACCAATTTTATTATTCATAACTACATACGACATTCAAATAATATATTCAATGGAGAAACAAAGTTGAGTTTGTTCAAAAGTAGATATTAAATTTTCATCGACATATATACATTTCTATCAATCTCACATGTTTATGATTCAATACCAACATCAGAGATGAATCAACATTTTCATAATATTGTCGAAGAGGTAAGAGAAGAGAGAGGTTGGCTTGTAAAAATCTTTTAAACCAACTCAAAATAGGTGATCCGAACAATTTGAATAGAATTCACAATCTAATCGACAGTTGATTCATTGTATTGAATACAATATTATTAATTTTATAATAATATGAGAGGAAATATTTCTCCTGAAGAAGAAAAATCCAAATATTGACAAAGACATGGCAATAAAGAACAAAATCTTTAACCACAAAATCCCACAAAAAGGCCCCAAAATGCCCAAAGTTTTCAATAAGCAATCCGTGTTAAGGCAAAAATGAAGATGATTGAAGAAACCCACAACACACAGGCGGCCGAGGCCCCGAGAAAGTTGCCCCAACGCCACACCAAGAACACACAGATAGCAGAGGCTCAGCTCAAGGGTTTCTTTCAAATGGGGTGTAAAAGGAAGTGTAGAAGATAAGCACGCCATCTGAAAACGAAAGCAAGAATGACAGAATCGAAAAGGAAAACAAAACCCATCTCATATTTGAGGTCAATTTCTTCATCCCTTAAAGATTTCTTCCAGATTTTACCCCTTTTCTGTTTTATTCTCCTCCTTAGTAGCTCTTCATGGGCCCAAATTCAGACCAGAATCAATGGATTGTACAAAATTTTCACGTGTGTGCTTCTGCTGCAAAACCCCTTTTCTTTTCTTTTCAAATTTTCATCTCTGCTGAATTTTCCCTCTTCCCCATATTGCTTTACATAGTTATCTGCCATATGAAATCCCTTTGTGTTCTTCTTGCTCTGCAGGTACCCTTTGATGTGTCCTTTATCCTGAACAACCTTCCAAGCAAAGCTAGCTGGTCATACGAGTCCGTACAATGATTTGTCTCTTGAGTTCCTTTCTTTTCTTTTCCTTCCTATGGAGAAATGCTTGGTTCCCATTTCCTCTTTGTTGGGAGTTTCTTAGCCATTGATATCTTAGCAAGTAATCCTCACGTGTTTTCTTCCTGCTTGTCTTGGTTGGATTGATATGCTGTTTCCATCATTGTTTTAGAGATTTGAATCTTAATTCTCTTAGTGAATTTGTTTGGCTTTATTATAACTTACAAAGGAATTGGAACACATAGCTCAGGAGTGTGAAGTCCAAGCATGTTAGAGCTAGCCTCATTTCAACTTGGTACCCTTTAAACAATTAACTGATGGTTTGTATATAGAAGGTAGGAATATTGATTGCTTGTTGAACCTCATGAGTTTTCTAAATGCTTTTCTGGATATTCTTTGCTAGTAATGGAACATGTTAAGATCAAGTCATTCATGCCATAGTTTTGTTGTGTGTATGTGAGATCCCACATCGGTTGGAGAGGAGAACGAAGCATTCTTTATAAGAGTGTGGAAACCTCTCCCTGTAGACGTGTTTTAAAAACCTTGAGGGAAAGTCCAAAGAGGATAATATCTGCTAGCGGTGGGCTTGGGCCATTACAAATGGTATCAGAGTCAAACATCGGGCGATGTGCCAACAAGGAGGTTGAGCCTTGTATAGGGGGGTTGACAAGAGGTGGTGTGGCAGCAAGGATGTTGGGTCTCAAAGGGAGGTGGATTGGGGGGTCCCACATCGATTTGAAGAAGGAAACGAGTGTCAGCGAGGACACTGGATCCCAAATGGAGGTGGGTTGTGAGATCCCACATCAGTTGGGGAGGAGAACGAAGCATTCTTTATAAGAATATGGAAACCTCTCCCTAGCATATACGTTTTAAAAACCTTGAAGAAAAACTTGAAAGGAAAAGCCCAAAGAGGACAATATCTACTAGTAGTGGGCTTAGGCCGTTACAGTGTATTTGTAATGACCTCTAGTTTGGCACACCCGTAAACGAGACGAAAGAACCAATACTAAACCGACAAGTGTTTAGTATAAGAATCGTTTGGTTATGCTGGAAACTGTATCAGTTCTTCAATGTATAAACAGCCAGGATGAACTATTTCTTGATATCAAGCATATCCCTGATGACCTGTTTGTTTTGTTTTGTAGCAACAGTTTGAGAACGGTGTTATTACAATCACAAAGGTTGGTTCATATGCTTTACCTACTTGTTCTTAGCTTATAATGGTCCTCAGCTATATGTTCCCTTGCTATATTTGGTTACTTTTATGTGAATAAAAAGTGACATATTTTACTGATCTCCAGCTAGAAGATATGGGTGAGCTTTGGTTGGCCCATTTTATATGTCTTACTCTCCAACTTTCAAAATATTGATAATCATATTCCAACTGATATCATTATATTCTTTTCAACTTAAATGTGATATAGAATCTTTGTTGTCCTAGATGCAAAGAATTGAGATGGCCCAGCTGAGTTTTTTTTTGTCTGCTCTTACTTTTCTTTTGTCACAAAAGAAAGATACTTGATTAGGGGACCTCATTTTTGTTACTTTTCGAGATGATATAGCATCGATAAAGTTATTGCCTCGGGATCTTTTACAGCAGCTAGCTAGCCTTTTCTTTTCCGTATTGCTTTTGATGCTGTCTAAATACTTAGAATTCATTAAGAGCGGTCGAGTTCTATTGCGTAAGTGCTGATTGGTGATGATCTACACTGTGGTATAATGTTTTTACATTTTCGACACAATAAGAGTGATTGTTTAGGAAAATAGAAATAGAGTTTGCTAGCTTCTTCGTTTTAAGGTCCAAGTAGGGAGTTGTGTCACGTGCTCTAAGAAAGCGTCCTGTGATGTAGATCAAAATGTGCAGGTTTTGGGAATGAAAACGTAATCTAACAAAGTATCTGATAACTTTGGATGTGTGAGATCCCACGTTGGTTGAGGAGGAGAATGAAACATTCTTTATAAGGGTGTGGAAACCTCTCCCTAACTTTGAAGGGAAGCCTGAAAGGGAAGCCCAAAGAGGACAATATCTGCTAGCGGTGGGCTTATGCTAGCGAGGAAGTTGAGCCCCAAAGGGGGGTGGACATAAAGCAGTGTGCCAACAAGGACGCTGGGCCCTGAAGGGGGGTGGATTGTGAGATCCCATATTAGTTGGGAAGAAGAGCGAGCATTCTTTATAAGGGTGTGGAAACTTCTCCCTTGCAAACTCGTTTTAAAAACCTTGAGGGAAGCCTGAAAGGGAAAGCTCAAAGAGGACAATATCTGCTAGCGGTGAGTTTGGGCTGTTACATAAACCATCCATCGTGAACTAATTTCTCGACCTAGGCTCATGATGTGTTCTCGAACTAGTAAGTTCATTATATTGGGAGGTAAAAAGGGAAGATGTGTAACAGTCAAGCCCACCACTAGCCGATATTGTTTTCTCTGGGTTTTCCCTTAAGGTTTTTAAAACGCGTCTGCTAGGGAAGGCTTCCATACCCTTATAAAGAATGCTTTGTCCCCAACCGTGTGGGATCTCACTATCCACCCCCTTCTGGGTCCAGTGTTTTTGCTAGCACTCATTCCCCACTCCAATTGATGTGGGATCTCACAATTCACCCTCCTTTGAGGTCCAACATCCTCGCTGGCACTCGTTTCCCTCTCCAATCGATGTGGGGGATCTTATGTGATGGCCGGCAAGTGAGAGTTCGTTGGGATTCATCATCATGTTAGAGTTCTTAAGCCAAATGGATAGATTAAGTTTGCAGTTTGCAAAAGTGGGAAAACAGATGAAGTGATATTCTTGGAACAATCAATACACGTAATAGGTCGGTTAGAAGTAATAGTTTTCTCCGAAAGGAATCTTGGTTTCGATAATCAATTGGTATTTGCTTAAAAGCGTAGTTTTTATGTCGTCAATGCCATACTGGCTCCAAGCTACTAGTGGGCATAAATGATCAAACTTGGGACTGATCATGGATTGATTATTACCTCCTCCATCACAAGGAGTGGAATCTGTTTGAGAATAATATGTGCACTCATAATCCTTATCAAGTATCGCCCTACTCCGACCTTTTTTCACATGAAAGTAATATCGATAACGATTCCTCAGGACTGTTCTACTACATAGAAAGATTCAATCCTCTTTGACTGTCCCCATGAGTGAATGTGAACATGCATTTTTTTTTTTTTTGTTTAGTTCCCAAAAGGCTGATAGAAAGGATGCGTATTCAATCGTTAAGATGCTATACATGGCTTTCGTGTTCATTGCAGCCATGCAGGTTGGAAGAAACACGAGAATCTTGAAGTTTATGGAGAAGTTTATGGAGGAGAAGAATCGCACCGCCCCAATCGAGAAGAATCACGCTTGTGGGCGTGGCCCAGGGATTCTCGTCTTCTTTCACTGGTATGATCATTGACTTGCTGTAATGTGAAAACGCTTCAGTCATTTCCTTTCTGCAGAGCTGTTGGTTTGAATTATATTAGTGATAAGTTGAGCATTCTCAGGACAAAATCGCTTATTGTTCGGTCCAGGCACGACCAGACCAATGCACCCTTTCATTTCTTTGTCCCTGTGAATGATCGTCAACCAAGTAACGAACGAAGTCGACCATTTTTTGTTGCAGTCTTTTTCCCATTTGGTAACTATGCGTAGTTATGATGGGGTAGAAATCTTTGAATCTTATCTTTTGATTACTTCATAATCTGTTATCAATAATTCTCATTCAAGTAATAATGTAATAATTTGATTGTTATATTAATTTAATCTATCAAATCTAAAGCAATAATTTAATTTTAGTCCATAAACTGAGGTGTTAAATTACAAATCTGTCCCTAATTATAAATGGGAATGTTATAAAAAATGTTTTATCCATAATATTTTAATTTTGTAGGAAGAATATTCATTTGTAGAATTCATAAATTTTAAAAAAATATATAAGAACAAAAATAATTAAGAAAAGGGACTTAAAAATCAAAATAAATAAAAATAAAACAGGGGAAATTATAATAGAAAAAGTGTAACAAAAACAATATTAACAAACCCATGACCAAACAAGGCAAAGAATTACCCGAAAAGCAATAGGCGTAATTAATAATTAATGTACACCATGTAAAAAAACAGGCCGACAAAGCCCGGCCCATGTGAAAAGTTACCAAAGCCCAACAATTATCACGCAGCCCAAGATGGACAAGGTGGGCCCCATACAAAAGACCGATTATTGAAAAATATTTTAACCTAACAAATGAAAACATCTCAACTCCGCCAAGATATTTTCAGTCCAGCTGTCAAATCGCATCAGATCAAAACATAGCCAACTATTACTTGGCGCTTTCAAGAAAAACAATAATAGCTGAGATTTTTTTTTTTTTTTGAAATTATCAATGGTAGTATAAATCTTGGCCATAGAGGAGATTAGGCAAGGAAGATCAACAGAGAGAACGAAGAGCTATACTAAATTTTTTGATGTCAATTTTTTCTTCATCGTAACATAGTGATAATGAGGAAAAAGAACGAAACCCATCGGTAATCGGTCAAAAAAGAGAGCACCCAAACGAAATACAGAAACAGTCGCAAATTGATAATGAAAGAGGCTGCTAAGATTTTTTTTTCGACACCAGAACTTGAAAAACAAAAAGCTAATTTGTAAATTTTCGCCTAATTTCTCCAGCCTCCTTCAGATCCGCCACCGCCTCCCCGGTTGTAACGGGAACCACCATCACCACCACCGTAACCACGGTCTCTTCCTCCACCATAACCACCTCCACCGTATCCACCTCCACCTCCACCACTACCGTATCCACCACCGCCGCGGTTGTATCCACCGCCACCTCCTTCACGACGCCCGCCGTATCCACCTCCACCACCACCACCACCACCACCACGGTTGTAACCTCCACCACCACCGCCGCCTCTTTGCTGAGCCTCATTAACGGTAATACTACGTCCATCGAGATTCTGGCCATTCATCGCTTCAATAGCACTTCTCATGGAGTCCTCTTCGACAAACGTCACAAATCCAAATCCCCTCGACCTTCCAGTTTCACGATCGTTAACGATCTGAACGAAAAAATCACAGGAAAATCAAGATCAGCCACAGAAGAACATCGATTAACGATTTCGCAGTTAAAAAATATGAACAAAAAATAAATAAATAAATAAAACCGATCGTTCTTCGTCTCTGTATAGAGGATGAAGGTGAACGTACCGATCAAAGGAGAGTAATAAAAGTAACATATCAAGAGAGTAGTAGTAAAGTAACACAAAACAGATGAGAGTCACAGAGTCACAGATCAGATTTCGGATCGACAAATCCGGATCTCGACGACAAACGGACCTTGGCTTCAACGATCTCGCCAAAGGAAGAGAAAGCCTTCTCTAAGGCATGATTATCAGTGGCCCACGCTAGGCCACCCACAAAGCAACGGTACTCAACAGATGAGGAGGCCATTAGATCGAAACTGAAAACCCTAACCCTAAATCGGGGTAGAAGAAGAAGAAAAGAGCGAAAATTTTGAGAGAAAGAGGGGCACCCAACACGAATCCACACCTCCAAAGAAGAGCACGATGAGATAGTAACCAATGGGTTGGTTATATAGAAGGCCGAATTTAACTAGGGTTAGTTTTAGGGTTTGCTGCAAATCGAACTGACGCGGTTTTTGTGCAATCAGGGTTAACCTAAAAGCCGTGTGATTGGTCCCCTGTTTGGATGCGCCCCAAACCCCGTCCTTCCCTTACTTATCTCATCTAATTATTTCATTCAATTATATATCATTATATTATATTTATTTTCCTATTTTCCAATATTGCTAGATCTAAAAATATAATTAATAATTATCCAATTACTAAATTAATTTTAACTTATTTTAGATATTTAGTTTATATTCCTTTTATTTATTTATTTATTTTCGTTGAGTTGAATTTTAAAAAAATATTAAAAAATCTAATTAACGTTGGCATATTATTCTCGAAGCTTAATTAATTTTATATGTTGAAATAATTTGTTTTTTTTTTTTTTTTTTT